GGTTGCTTACAAAACATCCATCAATTTCCAATCCTCAGTCTTTCACATGTAAGTAGCCTGGGGAGGGGACTCTACTAATTTTTCATGGCAGCCATGTGACCTATGTCTTTGTATTTCCTGGGCATTGTGTTCTCACTTATGGGATCTCTGATTACAAAGGCAGGTTGTTCATTGTTGCTGAGGCTCATGCCTGACTAGAACAAGACTCGACTGGAATAGGATCAATTGTCCAGATGGAATCTAATGTGATGATCTGGTGCCTGACAGAGGGATATGGAAAAGGCTCAAATTGGACACCTCGAGATCTCCCTGCAGTTCAGATGGACAGACAAGAAATACTGAGCTCTGGCCTGCATTCTGATAGCACAGAGTAGGGCATCAGCCAGGTCTTTTCACAAGCATCTGCAGATGAAAGTCTGGATGGTTAATATCTCCTGCTGCATATTCAGTCCATGAGACACTGGGCAACCCAAGAGGTCATTGATATTGCAGTGTCACAGGAGTCTCCAGAGGGAACTAACTCCATTCTCAAGAGCAGAGGATACTGGGATAGCCATCCAAAGCATCTGATTATCAGGCGAGAAGTGCTGAGTGTGTCTTCAAGCCCTACAAGCAAAGAAAATGAACTCATTTTTATGGGGCACTAATGCTGGCCCTTTCCAACCCCCAATTCCATGTACTCTAGGTCCAATTACCCAGTTGATATTACCTTACAACAATCACAGTAGAACCATGCTCCAGATTATAAGAAAGATTTTTGGGACAGGGTTCTGGACCTCTCTGTCCTTCCATGTCTGTATGGACATTTAGAATGTGTGCAGTCTCTGGAAAGTCCTGTGCCAGCTGTAGGCTGGGCTGAGCTGGGGCTTTGCCACCATCTAATGCAGAAGCCCTTGTGCCAATATGTGATCCTGTTGACAAGGCTCTTCTGCTCTTCAAGCCAACAGGCTGATTCACCTGTCTCCATATAAACACAGCCCAGCATGCCCTTACCTGGTGATACTGTCACTATGGTGACACTAAGACAAGAAGAACTTTGACAGTAGGAAGTGGGGTGGGAAGATGTTGTGAAGCCCAGCTGTACCTGGGAAGTATACAGCGAAACCACCAATCCCCCTTCAGACCTGCTTTCTATACTGGTGTCCTTGTACCGAAGCTCTGTTACAGAGAAGGCAACAATTTACCCCTGAATCTCCTTCAGCCCTCATTCTGAGTCTTCTAGATGGGAAGAACCTGGAGCAGGGTCTCTCCAGATGTGTCAGAGGGTGGCCCTGTGACCCGGGTCACTGCATCTCTTGGGACTTTGTTCCAGGTGTGGGATGTCTGACAGAGCTGGGCTCAAAGCTCTAGGTATGCAGCCTGTTCCTCACTTCCCGGCATGTGCCTGCTCCTCGCATGTGCCTGCTCTAGTCTCCCTGTGGTGGCGTGGGAGTGGTTCTTCCTCTACAGCCCCGACCACATTCTTACCTACAAGGATTGATTGAGAAGACTGGGTCTGAGGTTTGAGCTCAGCTTCTTGGTTGCCTTTGTACCATGATCTGAGCTGTTCTTTTGTCAGTCGACACTCGATGGACATGGCCATGTGACAGGCCCTCAGGAGGGGCCGGATCCCAGGATCAGAGTCTGGTGTCCAAGCCTTCACAGGGAACTGGCAGAGGCCAGGACAATCAGGAAGACAAAGGTCCTGAGGTAAGTCCACATGAAAAGAGGTAAACAGAGTCATGGACTTCAGAGAGTGCATGGAAATACAGGGGTTCGAGGAGCCTGTCTTGTGTGAATGTCACAGCTGGGCAGGGTCCGGGAGGAAAGAAGAAATGAGAAGAGGGACTTGAGAGGAGCAATGTGTCACATGAGTAGAGGTCCTGTCTTTTCAGGTCTACATGTTGCTCCTACATTTGAGAAATCTGGGGATCTGTGCCTGTCTCCTGGGAAGCTGCTGATGACTTCTCTCAGTGGATCGCTAGTGTGAGAGCAGCATGGAGATCCTCCCAGGCTTTCTTCTCATTATAACTGCTCCTCCTTGGAAGGTCGATGGTGGAGCAATGCTCAGGGCTTCTGAGAGCGTTCCTTTGCTTTCATCTGGCATGTGCCATGCACTGACGAAGATTCCCTCACCACCTTGCTGGAACTCCATAGAGGAATCTTACATTGTACTTGGAAGTCTGAGAATCTGAGGGATTTGGGCATTGTGCCCTGGGTCCCTCAGAGAATGAGTGGGGAGCCGGAGCTGGATGATATTGTCAGACTGAGAGAACCATCAGACATCTGTTTTCCTTGAGTGGTCAGTGTGATTATCTGGAACAAGACTGTTCAGGTTCATTTACACTGGGGTGATTTTGACTTACACTTCCGGGTTATAGTCCATTACACAGGGAAGTCAGGGCACAAACACATAGCGGCTAGTCATATCATAGCCACAGTCAAGAGCAGACAGAAATAAATGCACACAATTGAGCTTGCTTGCTTGTGTCCACTAGAGATCCCAACTCCTGTGAAGACTGGGACCCAAGCCCAGGGAATGGCCCTGCCCTGAAGAGTTGATCTGCCCATATGAATTAAGACAATCCAATAGCTCCTCTACAGACAGGCTCACAGGTGAACTTCTGGAAGAGTATTCCTCGGTGTCCCAGGTCACTCTGTGCTACCCAAGTTGACAGTTCAAACCAAGCAGCACAATTGCTTCCAGTGCTCACTAGAGCTCCCAGCATTGAAAACTGTCAGCTCCATGAGCAGAGGCTTCAGCCTCTTTGATTTTCCTGGGTTCAAAGCTGACACCCAGCCGCACATCCTCCCTTGCCCTCTCAGCTTCTTCCCCAGGATAACTGACCTTGTCTATACTCAGCAGACAACACTGGGATGTTTCCACTGTGTCCCAGCCTAATGCTTCCTAGACATAGGTTATTTCTCAGAAGGCCATGCTGCCTTCAGGCTGAATCTTTGCTCTTTTTCCAGGCTATTCTCAAGTTGTGACACCCTTCCTTCCATGAACGGGTAGCGACTTTCAGTCCATGTTCCTACTACTAGCCTAGGCTTGAGCAGGGTCAGTCGATTTCAGCTCCATCGTGGTATGTATGCTGCCTGCAAACCTTAGTCTTTTTTAGACAAATGGTCTATCTCTGAGAACCTAGGACAACTTGGCAAGCATTTAAAATTATTCACATTTTGTCTCACTCACTTTCTTGCCTATTTCTTTATTTCCTCCTCTCACCCTGTCTCCTCTCCTTTCCTCTTTGGTGTGTGTGTGTGTGTGTGTGTGTGTGTGTGTGTGTGTGTGTGTGTGTTTGTCTGTGTGTGTGTATGTGTGTAGCATCTATGTGCTGTGCCTAGCATCTGGAGGTTCCAGGATAACCCTATGAAGTCATTCTCTCCAACCCCTTTGAAGGGCACAGGGATTGAACTCTGTTGCTTACTGCTCCAAATGTTTTTGCAGGTGGGGAACCTAATGGACATGAAGCAGTGTCAGAACTTGCTGGAGAAGTCTGTGACTACTCTGGGGGAGTGGGAGCCTGGACCTTGGCCCACACATGTGCTGTTCTCCTTCTTTGGATGCCAGTCAGGACAACGAGATCTCTGTCCCTCAGAATTGACTTGGTTGTTGATTTAGGGAATCTCCAACATATCAGTCTAGTTCTCTGACTTTAGATCATATTTAATCTTAGTATTCTAGATGATTTACCCCTGTTCTTTATGCCCGGTTTACTTTACCACACTTTATGTGGCTGTAATATTTAAGTATGTAACGTTTTAGGACATGGCTACCCCCATTGGCATGCTCAGAGCCTTTGCCCAGGGGTGCTCTTATTTACCTGTGAGGAGAGCAAGCCAGGAACTTGTATCCTTACTCAGGGATGAGAACAAACTAAATCTCAGAGCATGACCTTCCACAGTGTGGTCCCTGAGCCTGGAAGCTCCTGGCTCCACTGTTCAAGCATCTTTGTCTATTCTGTGTTGGGACCTTTTCCATCCCTTACTTGGTAGTGTCCACAGAGCCTTCTGTAGAAACTGGAGTCCAGAAAGCCCAGGGCAGGGTTTCCAGCAGGACCTTGACCCATGTTGGTTCTCCTGGCTTTCATCCCTGCCTTCGCCAATCAATGTTCTCATGTCTGTCCTTAGAGCTCGTCTGCTCCCGTGCCCTGCACTCAGTGAGGAGGTTGGGAGCAAGTGTCAAATGAATGAAATACAGGCTCTGGATTCTCTCAGAAAGCCTGCTTCAGAACCCTGAGGCTTTGAGAAGCCAACAACCTGTTCAAGAACAAATATTCTCTGAGGCCATGAAGACAAGGTAGAGAGTGGGTTCCCCAAGGAAGCGGGTCAGAGGTCTCCCTCCCTGCATTATTCAAATCCTCTTTTGTAGGGCACACTAACAAATCCACATAGTCCTGTCTCCCAGAAGCCAGGTCAAGGTGTTGCTGTCAGAAGGGCAGGTGATACGAGCCACTCAGAACTTCACTATGAAACAGAGCCAAGACTCAGATTACTTTTTCCACAGTTTTCCTCAGTCTCATCTTAGAACTGAAGATCACCCAGGACATCTTCTTTTCCTTGAAGGTAGGATGGCCAACTTAGAGGCTCTTAGCTTCTGATGCTAGCACAATGGGGTTCTGAATAGCTATGAGGGGACAGGGCTGACAGTGCAGCTCTCTCCTGGGGCACATGCCTGGCATAAGTGAGACCCTGGGGAAATGTCTATGATCTCTCAAAGGGAAGTCCCTTCATAGTCTCAGGTCTCAGGGTCTGTAGCAGAGGCTTTGGCTACAACCAAATCCTGCCCCTTCCTGAATAGAAACAGAGGAGGGGTGGGTTATGGGTGGGGGATAAATAAGGGGAAGAGGAGAGACAGGGAGGAGAAGAGGGAGGGGAAACTGTGGCCAGGATGTAAAATAAATAAATTTTTAAGATGCATACATACTAAAAACAATCCTAAAGCAAATGACCAGCAGGAACCTTCTCTCTGCTGTCCATGTTAAGGGACTGGTGAAAAACTGCTTACTTTGTATCCCTGAGCACAAGAGGAGTTCCCAGTTCCACCTCAGATATTTTTGCCTCCCTCCTGGCAGCCTTTCTTAGGACCTGCTTTGGGAATGTGGTCCAAGGTCCATGGGTTAAGGCTAGGAGGGTAGAAACATGGCTGCATATGCCCAACCCCAATCCTCTTGCGGGAGCTGTGGTGTGGGATGGTCACCGCAGTCCTTTCTTACCTTGTGCCGTCCAGGTGTTGCTGGAATCATAATCCAATGCTTCTAAACTTTCAGTATGAAGAATAGGGTTCTTAGTGTGTTCAGGACTGCCCGGGAAGCGGTGTCCATGCCTGGAAGACATCTGACCACCAGTTGGAAGGCACTCAAGTGACCCCAGGTAGTTTGAGCCATCTTTATACTTCAACAGAGTTTTCCTCCCAGGATACATGAACAGTTTTATCACCATCTCTGCTTTTTTACTTTTAAGAAATACATCATATTTTAAGAAAGACATCATGGTCATTATAAAAGCCCTCATTGTTCCCCTTTATGTTTCCCCAAAGACACTTTCCCATCCCCCACAGGACTTCATTCTAGACATGGAGTTCAGCATTTTTGCAGCTTAACTAAATATCCAGCCACACATATCCTGCTCTCACAGTGCTCACAGCAGCTACTTGTGGTTCCAAATTAAAAACTAAGACATGGGTACAAAGCTTTAAGGACAACAGTATCCAAGCCCCGACAATTATTTCATGTCTGTAAGATATGCTTTCAAATAATTCCCTTTTCTACAAGAGGGCCCCATGTCTCAATCTCTCTGTAAAAGGCAGACTTTGGTAAGGCACTCTTTTCCTATACTACCACACTACTTTTCTTTCACCAATATAAGCTCCTGTGTATGGTAAAGATGGATGTATTCATCCCACATTTTGCATAGCATTTTTTCCTCTTGGAGCATACCAGATCCTACCATTGGCTCTATATGCTTGGTGTCCAGGGAACTTATTCTCAACACTTGTCACTGTGTGCATTTCTGAGGTTTTTTCCCTAGTCTGTGTATGCATGCCTTCCTCCCCTTTCCAGAACGGTAAAATTAAAAACCATCCAAAGATTCAACAGTACAATGAGAGAGAAAAGAGCCTACAAGCTGAATGAATTCAGCCAAGTCCTGCAATGCCCGAGGTCCACTGTTCTTTGCCAAGTGAGAGACCATCTTCACAGGCTTTGCCATGCAGAGACTGGTTGGACAGGCATTCATATGCGGATCAGAGACTAGGCTGCATGGCTCCCTACACTGAACTCTGTACCTGTGTCTGAGACTGAGTTAAGGTGCACTGTGTCATTGTGAGAAAAAGGAAAACAAGGCTGAATAAGGCCTCTCCTGAGGGTGAGTACCTGGGCCACACCAACCAGTCAAAGCTCACAGCAAAGAGCCGGTTTTTAGCCCTACTGGACATGCCCCAGACCCAGGATCTCTCCCCCATCCTGACTTTGTTTTCAGAACAGGCTCCCCATCAGACATACCCATTTTAGTCATTCTCACAGCTACCACCTTGACACACAGTCCAGACATCTGTCCCCTTTCATATACCTCTCCCTCTGTGTAACCCATCCAGACAGTTGCCACATCCAGTGTCCTAACACAGCCCTAGAGTGACCCAGCTCTCACTGAACAGCTAGGTGGCAGGCTTGGCTCTGCAGCCTGGCAGCCATTCTTTTCTCTCCCTTACACTTTCTTAGGAAGTCAGACCTAGGAAATGTTATCCCAGGATGACCCTCCCCTTGTAAGTCTTCACAGCATCCAGTACCATGTCTTTGGCATTTGGAGGTGAGCTCAGGAACCAACTGCACCCATTCATTGCACACAACAGCTAAACCACATCCTTTATGATAAACTCATAACATTTCACCTAACCACTTATAAGAACAGATTTTCAGCCCATAAATCCCCTTTCTGACTTATTCCAGGCCTTATCTGGCCCCACCTCCTCTATTTTGGGTAGGAAATGAAGATGGCTGTCACTGCTCCATGTGCTTAGATTCATTCCCTCAGATTAGCCCCAAGGTTCCCCATTTGTAGAGTCTTCTCCAGGCCTCTGGGAGAAATCTCAGGGCAGGACCCCAAGGAAATTTTGATATTTAATGGCACAGTAAGTCCTGGTGTGGAAGCAGGGTAAAGGAGTGAGAGAAACTGGTCACATGGTGTCCACAGTCAGAAATCCCAGACAGCTGATGTTGATGCTCTTCTTGGTTTCTCCTTTATTTATTTATTTATTTATTTATTTATTTATTTAT